GGTGCTTCCAACCCCAGCACAGGTAGCTACCAACCACAGATCACTCTGTAGCTCCTACCAAGTGGCCCAAGGCCAGGCATAGGCAGCAGCAGACCTTGGCCTGCACCAGAGCCCCTCCAAAGAGGCCCTAGAACCAATACACCTTGTGGCTGGCTTCAAACCACACCAAAACACCACTCAGTTAGCTCTGAAACAACACACCCAAAGGGTGAACTCAGCAGGCACCAGAGCACTGCTAGAGTGAATCCCACTCATTGGTGTCACAATAGCTTTCCACTGTAGTTACAGCCAGTCCTCACAGCCAATCAGCCGGAGGGTGAATCCCACCTACCAATATGTCAACAGCAATCAAGGCTCAACTACCACAGGACAGCACACAAAACCCACACAAGGGACATCTCTGGAGTATCCTGCTCAGACAAACATGAAGACTGTGCCACTGGGCCCCACAGGACATCTACTACATAATGCCACTCTGCCAAGGCTGGGAGATGTAGCAAACCTACCTAACACAAACACAAGGAGGCAGCCAAAATGAGGAGACAAAAAACTAGTCCCAAATGAAAGAACAGGAGAAAACTCCAGAAAAAGTACTAAACAAAATGGAGGCAAGCAATCTACCAGAGTCAGAGTTCAAAACATTGGTTATAGGGATGCTCATAAACTTAGAGGAAGAATAGATCAACTCAGGGAGAACATAAACAAAGAGATAAAAACTATAAAAAAGGATCTGTCAGAAATGAAGAATACATTAACTGAATGAAGAATACATTAGGTGGAATCAACAGCAGTTTAGATAAAGCAGAAGAGCCAATCAGCGATTTGCAGGGCAAGGTAGCAAAAAACACCCAATTGGAACAGCAAAAAGAAAAAAAGAATCCAAAAAATTAGGATTGTTTAAGGGGCCTCTGGGACAACATCAAGCACACCAACATTCACATCATAGGGATACCAGAAAGAGAAGAGAGATAAAAAGATTGAAACATTATTTGAAGAAATAATGACTAAAACTTTTAATCTGGGGAAGAAAAAAGACACACAAGTCCAGGAGACACAGACAGTTCCAACAAGATGATCCCAAAGAGGCCCAAACCAAGACACATCACAATTAAAATGCCAAAGGTTAAAGACAGAGCAAATCTTAAAGGCAGCAAGACAAATGCAGTTAGTTACCTACTAGGAAACTCACATAAGACTGTCAGCTGATTTCTAAACAGAAATGTTGCATGCCAGAAGGGATTGGCATGAAATGTTCAAAGTGGTGAAAAGGAAGAATCTACAACCAAGATTACTCTATCCAGCAAGGCTACCAGTTAGAATCAAAGAAGAAATAAAGAGCTTACCAGGGTCTTCTTTCACAGAGCAAAAGTTTTCATTGTGACAAGATCTCATTTATCACGTTTGCCTTTTATGGATAGTGCTTTTGGTATAAAGCTTAAGAATAATTTGGCTAGCCCAAGATCCCAAATAATTTCTCCTGTTTTGTTTTCTAAAGGTTTTAGAATTTTGCATTTTACATTTAAATCCACAATTTTGAGGTTCTTTACCCTCACCCTAAAACATGAGGTTTAGGTGGAGGATCTTTTCTTTTGTTTCTGGATGTCAATTGCTTCAGGACTATTTGTTGAAAAGGTTATCCTTCTTCCACTGTTTAGTTTTTTTTCCCCCAATTATTTTTTACTGTGGTAAAATATATTTTAAAAATTGCCATTTGTAAGGCACTTTTAAATGTACAATTTGATGGCATTAATTACATATACAATGTTATGCAACCATCAACATTATCTATTTCCAAAACTTTTTATTATCCCAAATAAAAACTCTGTACCAGTAAGTATTAATTCCCCATTCTTCCCTTCTCCTAGCCCGATACCTCTTATTTTCTGTCTCTATGAATTTGACTGTTCTAGATATTTCATATAAATAGAATCACACCATATTTCTCTTTTTGTGTCTAGCTAGTTTAACTCAGCATAGTATTTTCAAGGTTCATTAATATTGTAACATTCATGTTATAGAAGACTTTAATTATTTTTATGGCCGAATAATATCCAATTGTATGTACATACCACACTTTAAAAATGTGTCTGTTGATGGATGCTTGGGCTGTTCCACCTTTTGGCTATAGTGAATAATACTGCAAAAACACTGGCATATAAGTATCCCATTGAGTCCCTGTTTTAAATTTTTTCGGGTATATACTTAGCAATGGATTTGTTAGTTCACATGATAATTCTATGTTAAACTTTCTGAGGAAGCACAAACTGGTTTCCAGTGTCTACAACATTTTATACTTCCACCAGCAATGTACACATTTACAATTTCTCCAAATCCTTACCAACACATGTTATTTTCCTTTTTTTAGATTATAGCCATACTGGTAAGTTTGAAGGGATATCTCATTGTGATTTTGATTTGTATTTTCCTGATAATGTTGAACATCTTTTCATGTCCTTTTTGGCCATCTAGATAACTTACCTGGAAAAATGTTTTCAAGGTCCTTTGCCCATTTTTTAATTGGATTGTTGTCATTCTATTGTTGAGTTGTAGGAGTTCTTCATATATTCTAGACATTAAACCCTTATCAGATATACAATTTGCAAATATTTTCTTCCATTCTGTAATTTATCTTTTAATGTTCTTGATCATGTCCTTTGACGTACTAAAGTTTTTAATTTTGAAGAAGTCCAGTTTATCTATCTTTCCTTTTGTTGCTCATGCTTTTGGTGTCATATCACAGAATACACTGCCAAGTCCAAGGTCATAAAGATTTACCCTTGTGTTTTCTTCTAAGGGTTTTCTGGTATTAGCTCTTATGTTTATGTAATTGATTTTGTTTTAATTAATTTTAATATATGGTGTGAGGCATGGGTCATTGAATTTCTTTGCATCTTTGTCAAAATCATTTGGCATCAAAAAAATGAAAGAGAGTCCACTAAAGGGAGACAATTTTTGCAAATCACATATCAAGTAGAGGAGACCTCTTTAACTCATGGATTATTTAGAATTAGACTTGTTTAATTTCCAATTGCTTAGAGATTTTATCATTTTTGTCACTTTCTAGTGTAATTCTATTGTGGCCAGAGAATTCATTCTGTATGACTTCAGTATTTTTAAATTGGTTCAGTTTTGTTTTATGGCATATGATATAGTCTATATTGATACATGTTCTGTAGATACCTGAAAAAAATTGTCTTCTTTTGTTCTTGGGTTGAGTGTTCTATAAATGTCACATAGATTCTGCTGGTGATGGTGTTGTTAGTTGTTCTGTGTCTTTAATGGTATTGTGTTTAGTAATTATATCAATTAATATGAGAAGGGTGTTGTAGTTCTTAACTATAGCTATAGGTTTGTTGATTTCTCCTTTCAGTTTTTGCCTCATGTATTTTGAAGCTCTGTTTTTGGGTTCATATATATTTAGAATTGTTATGTACTCTTACTGAATTAGTTTTTTTGAATTTATCATTATGTAATATCCCTCTTTGTCTCTGGTGATTTTTTGCTGTGAAATGTACTTCGTTTAATATTCATATAGCCATTTCAGCTTTGATTAGAAGCTGAGATGTTGGAAGAATCATGTACAGCACAGTTGAATTCACAAAAACAAGAGAGAAAGACCATGTGCTGGGAGCTCACTGGCTCAGCACCTTTACATTATGCCCCAGACACTTCCACAAATGAACCCGGGGGCTCTGACAGAACATCCTGTTTCAAAACCCTGATTCAAACATTCTGCATGGAACAGTTGTCATTGTCAGGTATTGTCAAGAACCCCAGGCTGGGGTCAGAAAATCTAGTTTTAATCCTGGCTTTGTCATGTACCTTCCAGCCTTATGACCTTACCAATACATCTCCCTTTGGTGAATCCAGGTTCAAACATTTCCTCATTTTTTAATTAGAATATTCATTTCTTTTCTGTTGGCCTCAGAGAAAGGCTGTGAAGGGAGCTTGTACACACCACATTCACTAATATCCTCATGCTAGAGACGAAGCCCTTCTACTTCCAACTTTTCAGGTACATAGATTTTACAGCAAGTAGGTCTTTTGCCCACACCCCTGCTCTGATCCAAGTATTCCACTGTTTTCTCTTGAACATTGCTACAGCCCATTACTCATCTCCTTGAGAAGTCTCCTTCACAGATTGCCACATCTTTTAAAACAACAGTAAATCTGTTAAAACCAATGGTGAACACCCATTACACATTTAGAAATCTCCACTATCTAGCCTCAGTGAGCCTCGCAGCCATACCTCCTCTTCACATGGCTCTCTCATGTCCCCAAGCATGTCAATGTGGCATCCGTACAGGCTAGCTCACTGATATTACAAAGTTGTTGTTTTTTATTATAGGCCTTTGAATAAGTTGTTGCTCTGCCTGAAATATACTCTATCACCATATCTTTTTGGTAAAATATTTTTTCCTTCAAAACTCAACCCAAACACAATTCTGAGTACACAGGTCTTTTTTCCTATTATAAGAGGTAACCTTTTCCTCCACATTTGACTTATCTTCTCTGGAAGGGACCCCCACAAATGGTGTTATACTGTGGGTATTTGTAAACATGCCATGTCTCCTTCACTGGCTGGAAACATCACTCAGGCAGAGGTATAATGTACTCATTTGCCTCTCAATAGCACCCAGAAGAAGGTCTGGAATATAGTAGGTGTCCAGAGACTGTTAGCGAAACATATTGCTAGGTAGTGCATGGGGTTAAGTCTTAAGTATGATTTGCAATGGGGACAAATTTGAATTATGTGTGGCATCATATAGTGTATGACTTATGAGCTTATAATTAAGAATACAGTGGTACAGATGTATGTTTACAAGGGAGAAGTGGTTTGTGTGTGTGAGTCTGCACACGTGTGCGCCTATGTGTGTGCACACTGTGTGCACATGTGGCATATGACCCAGTAGAAACTCCCCAAGGCTTGTCCTCTCTACAACCTGGTCCAGGCTGGTCATCTTCCATGGCATTGGCCTTATCGGGCCCTGCTTTCTTACCTTATGTATATATCAGTCTCCAGTCCAAAGGCCCTGTTTTCAACAGCTTTCTCAAAGGACATTATGGTGTTCTCAGGTGCCAGCTATGGAAGGAAAGGACATCAGGCCTCTACCTCAGAGCTTCTCCCCCAATATCCCTTCTATGGTCATAGGGAAGCCTGGTATTGAAAGCACTTTAAAAAACAAATGTTGGCTCCCTCCACTCATTTTTTGAAGAGCCAGCATATATTCTCATCCACCCAATGATTCTGGGACTCTTCTCATCTGAGACAATGTCACTGGGCACATTAAAGAGAAATAGACTGAGAGTTAGGTGACCTGGATTCGAGTCCAACATTTATAATGAACTCTATTCTTGTCATCAAAAGCCAACCCCTTTTCCTCTCCAGAGATTCCTAAGGTTCTGAGGTCCCCTTCTCTCATCCATAAACCCATACACACTGTACTCACCCACATCCATCATGCTCAAACCTACCATGGGTGCACCTCTATGTCCAAAGAGGTCTGGTTTGGGTCCCAATTTATTCTTCTCCACAAGGCAGGGAGAATAATATCCCCATGGCACCACACACAGACATAAAAGGATAAAGAAAAAAGGCAATCCAATAGCCACTTGTGCAGCTGAAAAGGTTGGAAGGATTGAGGGGGAGTGAGAAAAAAAGATAAAGAGGAATGGAGACTCATCCCAAGCAACTAACTATCCCAAAGCAGCAGTCAGTAAATACCCAGAGCACAGGCTTCATTGATTCTGTGGATTGCTCAATTTACTCTCTATTTCCGTCACATCCCCATTTATTTTCAGTGACCTGACTGTACAGGGCTATCCAAATGTAAGCATTATTATCGAAGCAATATTGTTCGACTGAAAATTCACAGAATATGAACTGTGCGGGAGGTGGAAGGAAGGAAGGAAGGAGAAAGCACGTTAAGGGTTAGTTTCTCAGGAGTAGGAGTGAAATGGCTGGTGCTGAGAGAGCCCTGAAGCCTGTAAAGATCAGCCTAGAATGGCTCTATATGTAAGGCAGTGCAGTACAGTGGAAGGGGCACTGGCGGACAGAGTCTGAGGTCAAAGCCAGACACTACCACTGTCTAATGTGTGACTGTGGACACACTGCTTAACCTCTGTGGGTCTCCATTTGCTTCATTCTGAAAAATGGGGCTATTTTGCTGCTAACAATTACCTCATAGAGTTGATATAACAGTGTTTACCCATAATAGGTACTCAATAAATATTAGGTATTAGCGCCTCTCTCTCTCTCTCTCTTTCTCTCTCTCTCTCTCTCTCTCTCTCTCACACACACACACACACACACACACACACACACACACCTCATCCACAATGCCTGTTATCACTGGCCACTCTCCAACACTTATAATTGTAGACCTCTGAGGATTTTACCAATTTGTACATTTTTAATTTACCACCTATACATCAGTCACTTGCAAATCTGTATCTCCAGCTCTAACCTCTCAGCTTTGTGAGTCTAGAAAATATCTTGCTTCTCTTTCTCTTATGATGTGTAATCTTGTCTCTTCTGAATATAGCTAAAATTTCAAAAATGAAAGAGAAAAGAATTCATTATTGTTCCCTTTAAGCTCTTTCCCCAAAACATTTGCTACAATTCACCTTCCTCATACACATATATGTGTACACACATACACACAAGTACAAACACACAATGGCAACACAACCAATCCAGTCATTCTCTTGTCTCCACCCTTGTGCAACCAGGAAGCAAACAATCCTTGTTTAACCAACAGTAAAAAGAGACGTAAAAAAAAAAAGATCCTACTGGTTTCTCAGTAAGGGTGCTGTGGGATAACTCCGTTCTCAAAACAATTTAATGTACAGCTCGGATTTTCTTATGTTTCCATGATATTGGGGCAAAGAATGGAGAGAAAACCAGTGGGAGACAAAGACATTTCTGCTTCTGCTATAAGTTCCCAGGTGTGACAGGGACTCACAGGGACCTGATTTGCATTACTAGAATGTAACCAGGGATATCTGGACCTAGTATGAGTTCATTAGCTGAAGCTAGTAATATTTCAATACAATCTAAAGAAACTGTGACTAGTACCATCACTCTGTCACATAAAATTAAAACGGCCTCTATTCTCCCCCCAACCCCTTTTCATTTCCACACAGTCACTGTGTAACAACATGAAGATACTTCTTATTTTCCTAGAAGGAGAATCCCTCTTTAGAAGAAGGCCTGTTTGATCAGGAAAATGTTCTGACAGTCCATGTGGAGTTGTGAGTTTGGCCACAAGGAGTATGCCTGAGCAGTAAGCTAAAGGAATTTCAAAGCGGCATAGTGGTGGCTATCTACCAAGCTTGTGTTTCACTGAGCAGAGGATGCAAGCTAAAGCCAGAGCTGAAAGGATAAGGCTCCACCCACATGACGTACCTTCTTGTTCCAAAGTGACCAAATAGAAGGCCACGGGATAGGAAAGGAGAACCATCATGGTTATGCAGCTCAGGTGCAGGTAGGGAGCAAAGACCTGGGAGGAAGCCAAAAGTCAGGCTGGCCACACTGGGCAAACAGTGCTAGACCTACAGGATGATGCTTACCTTCAGTGAGAGCCCAAATGTCAGCCACCTGTCATTCCAGTAAATGCATAAAACCGCCATGAAAAATGTGCATATCAGAATCACTAGCACAATCAGAATCTGAGGAAACAAACAAACAAAAAATCTTCTGATTTCCAGGCACCAGGCTTGGATCGGAACTGTCCGTGGGAATTGTATGTGTGTCCCCACCATGTCAGGGACCTCATTTCCTCATCCTTTTAATCTGACCATCCTGCACATCCCCAGTACTGGGTGGATCCAACCGTTTACCTTCTTTGCTCCCAAGTCTTTGTTGTGCAGCAGGGCTAGAAACTAATTCCACAGCTACCTGGTCTGATGTTTACTTATTGTCATCTCCAGCCTCAGCTGGGCCCCCAACATTGCCTGACATCTCTCACTCAGTGTCAACAATGGCCATTACAGATGTTCACTACTTTTGTTTTTTAATTAAACTCAATACAGTCACAAATAAGTAACATTTTAGAATTACCTTTTCAATGTATGTTTTCCCCTACAGACTCTAAACTTCATGAGATATAGGATACTATTTATGATTACATCCTCAGTGCCTTGTAGAATGTCTGACACACAGTAAGCACTCAGTAAATATTTTATGAACAGATAAAAAAGATTCTGCTTGCCAGAACACTGTATACTTTATAGAGGGGAAAAAATAAGAAAACATTGAGACCAAGTACATATAACTTTAATTTCTTCCCCTGGAAATGTAAAGACTTTCTACATTGTCCTGCTTTTTAGAGAGCATTTAGTTCCTTCCTTTCCATGATCTGTATATCTATTAAAGTAATTTAAACCATAATTAAACCTCTCACAAAATAACTCCAAGTTTTGCTAGCATGGATGTTTAATTTTACCAAATACAGGGTTGGGCAATAGATTTACAATTGTGGTATGGGAAACACCATTAATAAAGCTACTGTAATAATCATAACTTGCATGGCTGTTCAACTGTAATCCTACTTTTGCCCATCTCTGTATTTAAGAAATATTTCCAATCTTTAACAAACTCTTCCAGAGAATTCGAAAGGTAACATTTTCTAATTTCTCTTTTAAAACCTATAAAATATCAATACCTAACCTCAACAAGAACATTACAAGAATATACAAAATACAGTCATGTGCCAAAATAACATTTTGGTCAATGACAATCCTCATCTACAAAGGTGGTCCCATTAGATTATAATGGGCTGAAAATTTTCTATCACTAGTTACATTGTAGCCATCATAATGTTACTGAGCAATGCATTAGTCAAGTATTTGTGGTGATGCTGGTGTAAATATACCTACTGCACTCCAATGGGAGAGAAGCACAGTACCTTTTCTATGTTTAGTTTTGTTTAGATACACATTGTCTCAGAATTGCCTACATTTTTCAATACAGTGAGACGCTGTACAGGTTTGTAGCCTAGGGGCAATAGGCTATAACAATCAGGGTTGACTAAGTACACTCTATGATGTTGCACAATCACACAATCACCAAAGAATGTATTTCTCAGACATTCCCATCATTAAGCAACACATGAATACACAGGCCTATCTCTTCTATGCACATAGACACAAAAATCTTAAATAACCTATTAGCAAACCAAATGCATCACAACACAAAGGTTTAACTGTCAAATCAGACACACGAGTCTATGTGATTCTGTGACTTTACCCAACACTAATCTTAACTAGTGATTTAAAGAATATAGGCAATTATAAGTACAGATAAAATTGTTTCCCTTGGTGAAATCTGATCCTTTCAAATGCAAGTACTCATAAAAAATTATTTTCTCTTCTGTGCTAGGCTACATTCTGGTCTTGGACTTAAAACGTGTGGTGTGTTTTGGGCAAAGTATGTGGAAACACTGCTTCATAGAAGGAGACTTTGTGGTTATGGAGCATACAAATCTTGTATCCCATTAATTATACAACTCGAGCCAGCCATGTCTCCCACCCTACAAATCTATAAATTCCAGGTTTCTTTACAATAAGCAACCCAGAAATAAACCAGGTTATATCTTGCTTGATATTTTTACTCTTATTATCTTTGGCTAATAAACATCTTTATATGTGTTTCCCAGAAGGCTGGGTTATTAGCATATTTAAAGGAGTTTTGATTGAGGTCATTCATTTCTCCCTGAGCATCTCTAGATAGAAGGGGAATGGGTTACTAACACTTTCCTTCCAGGTTTATTCTTAGTACACTAAAACCAAAACTCCAAGCCCTACAGAATCTCCCTCGCCAACAGAAGCAGTCTCTCCACCCAAGTCTGATAAGCCTAGTCCTTCATTGGTGTGAAAATTTACTGATATGAGTACACCTACTAGAGGCGAATTCAATTTACCAGAATCCAGGAATTATGCATCTCGAAGTGATTCTAATTGTTTCTTTGGATATCTGAAACCTTGGCTCAACAGTGGCCTATGCTTAATGGAATTGGTGTTATATAGAAGAAAGTATCCAAACATTTATTAAGAAAAGTTTGCCCTGGCTAGCTTGGCTAAGCAGTTGGAGCATTGGTCTGCGGACCAGAGAGTCCTGGGTTCAGTTCCTGCTAGGGGCACATACCAAAAAAAAAAAAAAAAAAAAAAAGTTTGCTGGAATGCCATCACCCATGATAAGCTAACCCACTCCCTATCATGTTCTAAGGGAGGTCTCAGAGGACACTGGAAATACTGGTGGGGAAAGTGTCAGCTTCCATGAAGAGCGCTACAGTGGCTCTCCTCTACGCCTGAATAAAGGTGAGAGATGCTGCCACTGAAACTGGCATCCTGAATTCAAAGGCAATGATGAGATCCTGCTGTGGCAGAGGCCATGTAGCAGCACTGACTGACTAAGACATGGTAGGCATAGTTTCTACAATAGGGACAAGCCTGGAATGGTTATCAGAATGGTTTATTCCACAGGGATTCTTTGTAGTGACTAATTGATCATGGTGTCTCAACTCAAAAAGTTTTTCATATTCCACATATGAGTGAAGTCATGTGTTCATAGCTTTTTCTGACTTATTTCATTTAGCATAATATTCTCAAGGTCCATCCATGTTGTTGCAAATGTCAGTATTTCATCTTTTCCGGTGGTTGAATAGTATTCCATTGTATATATGTAATACATCTTCTTTATCCAATCATCTATTGAAGGGTACTTTGGTTGTTTCCATGTCTTGGCCACTGTGAATAGTGCTGCAATGAACATAAGGGTGCATATATCTTTCCGAATACATGTTTGGAGATTTTTATGGGGGAGGGGGTAGATACCCAGGAGAGGAATTGCTGAGTCTTATGGTAACTCTATTTTTAAGTTTTTGAGGAGCCTCCATACTGTTTTCCATAGTGGCTGTACCAGTCTACATTCCCACCAGCAGTGAATGAGTGTTCCCTTTTCTTCACAACCTCTCCAGCACTTGTCATTACCTGTCTGGTTGATAACAGCCATTCTAAAAGGTGTGAGGTGGTATCTCATTGTAGTTTTGATTTTCATTTCCCTAATAGCTAGTGAAGTTGAACATCTTTTCATATAACTATTGGCCATTTGTAAGTCTTCTTGGGAGAGGTGTCTGTTAAGGTCCTCTGCCCATGTTTAAATTGGACTGTTTATATATGTGTTCTTTATATATTTGGGATATTAAACCTTTGTTGGAGTTGTTGTTTACAAATATCTCCCATTTGGTTACTGCCCTTTTGTTTTGTTGTCAGTTTCTTTTACTCTGCAAAAGCTTTTTATTTATTTTTATTTTTTTATTAATTAATTTTTGTTACAGATATTTCTCCTTTTTCCCCCACTGATTCCCCGCTCCCCCTCCCTCCCTACCCTTTCCCCAGTTTGTTGTCCATGTCCACTGTTCATGCATACATGCATATAAGTTCTGTGGTTTATCTCTCCCCCACGATCCCCTCTTCGGGGGATTGTCAGTCTGTACTCCACTTCTGCATCTCTGGGACTACCCCATTCCTCAGACTGTTATATTCATTATATTCCACAAATAAGTGAGATCATATGAAACTTGTCTTTCTCTGTTTGGCTTGTTTCACTTAGGATGATACTTTCCAGATCCCTCCATGTAGTCTCAAAGGACAAGAGATCTTTCTTTCTTACAGCTGCGTAGTACTCCATTGTGTATATGTACCACAGCTTCTTTATCCATTCGTCTACTGATGGACACTTGGGCTGTTTCCAGATCTTAGCTATTGTAAATAGTGCTGCTACAAACATGGGAGTACCTATGTTATTTCTGATTGGTGTTCTAGGCTTCCTAGGGTATATTCCTAGAAGTGGGATCACTGGGTCAAATGGAAGTTCAATTTTTAATTTTTTGAGGTAACACCATATTGTTTTCCATAGTGGCTGTACCAGTCTGCATTCCCACCAGCAGTGTACTAGAGTCCCCTTTTCTCCACACCCTCGCCAACACTTGTTGTTTGATGATTTGTTGATGGCGGCCATTCTGACAGGTGTGAGGTGATACCTCATTGTTGTTTTAATTTATATCTCTCTGATGATTAGTGATGATGAGCATTTCTTCATATGTTTCTTAGACATTTGTATGTCCTGTTTGGAGAGGTGTCTATTTAGCTCCTCTGCCCATTTTTTAATTGGATTCTTTGTCTTCCTTTTGTGGACTTGTATGAGGACTCTATATGTATTGAAAATTAACCCCTTGCCCTGGCCAGTTTGGCTCAGCGGTTAGAGCGACGGCCTGCAGTCCGGAGAGACCCGGGTTCGGTTCCCACTAAGGGCACATGCTTCGGTTGCAGTTTGTCCCCGGCCCTGGTTGGTCGTGCGGGTGGCAGCCACTCGATGTGTCCCTTCACGTCGATGTTTCTCTCTCTCTCTCCCTTCCTCTCTCTCCCTCCCACTCTATCTGTACAAAAAATGGAAAAATGCCCTCGGGTGAGGATAAAAAAAAAAAAAAAAGAAAGAAAATTAACCCCTTATCTGATATATCATTGGCAATTATGCTCTCCCATACAGTGGGTAGCCTTTCCGTTTTGATGATTGCATCTTTCACTGTGCAGAAGCTTTTGAGTTTGATGTAGTCCCATGTGTTTATTTTCTCCTTTATTTCTATTGCCTTAGGTGATGTGTCAGTAAA